GTGTGTGTGTGTGTGTGTGTGTGTGTGTGTGTGTGTGTGTTTTTAACTGAGTGTGTGATGTGTGGAGGTGAGGACAACAGTGGCCACCAACATGGTTTGGTGCCACTGTCTTCATTGTGTTAAGGCACCAGTGGTTTTACCTACCATCAGTGCAAATGTCAACCAGTGAAAAAGGCAAATAATATTAATACTATTATGAAAATGGTTTTCACCTGGTGGATCCTCAGAGGCCCACGGACCACATGTTAAATGCCTGCATTAGCAGTTTTAGTACAGAGAATCCTATCACAGAACAGAAGGGCTAAAGCCTCATCTAGAGTAATAACCCTATTTTCAGAACTGGGGATTTTGAAAATATACAACCTAGAAATGACTGGTGAAGCCTTCGCATTAGGTCACAAGGCCCAAACCTGGGAGGCTGACAAGTGCCATGGAAGGGGACCTAAGGAACGGCCAAGATATGCTTACCAGGTTAGTCAGCTGATCAAGTACTTCATTGATTTGCTGGCTGTATACAAGCCCAATATGGGACTTTCCCATTAGGCGCCTCACCTTCTTCCGGATGTCATTCTTCTGTACCTGGAAAGACAAAAGAGGGTCTTAATAAGGGATCTGCTCTCCTTTCAACTGAGGTAGAGGGAAGGTACAGGTAAGCTTCCTATTGTATGAAAGAAGGGTATTTCTAAAAGACCATCTCTCTGAATATAGAGAAAATAGTCTATGTTCTGCCAGGGAAATGGCTCTCAAAGCAGTCCTGGTTTAAGTGACTAGGGCTTAAGGGGACACTTCCTCCCTATCCCCAACCAATACTGTAACATTCACCCCTAACCAGGCCCTGAAAGCCCTCAGGGTTCCTCGAGTATAATTCACAAACATTGACTTAGAGTAGCAACACTGTGTGCTCACTTAGAGACAAGACACCTTAAAGGTCAACACCCTTACCTAACCAGAGGTAAGGGGAACCCCTGAAGTTCAACAGAGTAGAGCGAGCCTTACAACAGAAAATAAAACAAACCAACAGGATCTGCCTGCAGGGCATTCTCTGTATTTGATCAACTAATCCCTTCATATTTAGAGAGACTGGGAGAAAAAGAAGAGAACCCAGGGGATCACTGTCAAAACAACTCTCCTCTACTCACTAAGTCCCTTTGGGAGCATAATTCTTCTATTTGGTAACATACTTTCCCCACGCTATGAACACCAAGGACAACTAAGTCAAACTGGAACCTACCAATACTTTTTATTTATTTACTTGCTTACTTACTTATTTATTTTTTACTCTCACCCAAGGATATTTTTTCCATTGCTTTTCAGAGAAAGTGGAAGAGAGAGAGAAACACTGATGTGAGAAACACACATTGATTGGTTGCCTCCCACACTCACCCCAACTGGGGCTGGGGATCGAGCCTGCAACCGAGGTATGTGCCCTTGGCCGGAATCAAACCGGGGACCCCTCAGTCCACAAGTGGATGCGCTAACCACTGAACCAAACCTGCTAGGGCATACCAATACTTTTTTAATAGGTAACTCTTTATATCTATGGAAAATTCTATGATAAAACTTTTTAGAACCTACTACTTGAGAACATATTTTTAAAAATTCATTGTATTCTGTGGGAATCCTAAAACTACTAGAATCCTAGAACTACTTAGAAAAGGAACCCCATTTAAAATTCATCAGTCACCTTTACAAGCTTTCTTAGCACAACAGCCTGGCAGCTTCACATCAATGGAGCACGTGTAAGCTGCAGAGAGTGCTCAGAACGTGCCCTAGAAAGATGTCCTGTCAGCTTCCCAACTGCCCCAGAATTTAGGTAACAGGTAATAGGAATGAGCCTTGCCCTTCCAGCAGCAGCAGTAGCTGCACATAAGCAAAACTGATGCTACCTTCATTAGCAGCATATAAGAGATGAGGTTATGCAAAAGCGTGGCCAGCAAACGATCTTCGTCATCCTCTAGGCGCTTCCGGTCATGTTCTCCCAGTGACAGGTACCTAAGCAGGAGACCAGGGACAAGTCAGTCCTCAGGTGGGAGACCACAGAAATAACTGGGAAAAGGCTGAATTTTCCCAAGAATTTCCTAAGCCTCATACCTGTCTATCATTTCCTGGGGACCCTGGTCCATACCCATCCCTTCTCTCTCCAACATCACAGCATCTAAGAACGCATCTTCCCAGAACTGCATTTGGTCCCATAAAGTAGAACGCTCTTTGCCTGTGTAGGAGAGAGGTTTTTAGGGGCTTATGTAACATACAAAGAATAAAGCTGGCAACCAAAATAGAGTAAACTCCAGTAAAAGGGAGTCATTGCAAATTCCAGGGCAAAGAAAACCCGAGCCTCTCCACCCCAGATCTACAGCCCAACTGCCTCCAAGTGAGGCCCAACCCCCCCGAGCAGGAGGGATGAACACAGCACACAAAGAAAGGTGGTTACTCATAGAAAAGGTCTCCATAGCAGCATCCTCTAACTGGTCCCACATCGATCCTTTGTCCCTTCCTGCCAGTTTGTGAGCAGGGAGGGCCATGGTAGCAAGAAAGGAAAGAAAGGAAGACAGAAAGACAGAGGCTATTGATTAATACCAAAATCCAGTCTTTTCTAGAAAGTTGTCACCCACTGCTTCTTCCAGACCCAGTAAGTCACCTGCTTCAGATATAAAAATGCCCTCTAACATCAGCATTGAGATCAGCAAAAAGCCAAGCAGCTACTTGTTAAGTGCTACCCTCTTCCAGTGCAAGGGACCTTCCCGCTCTGTTTCTCACCTAGGAGTCCCTCGTAGAGATAGACTCGCTGGCTTACATCTTCGTAAGAGCGAACCGGGCTGCCCGCCAACTTCTCCCTTATGCTCGGCTTTAAGCTGTGGGCTTTACCCTGCAGAGAAGAGGTCATAGGTCAGCCACCTAAGGTACCAATGAATAGGCGCAAAGTAAACCAAACAGCTTATTAAGAGGCTCACACACCAGTCACCATCATTAACAACATATACTCCAACAGCCCTGCTTTTGCTACTCTGCTGGCCTCAAGGATTGGACCAGAAGTCAACCTGATAATCTTGCTTTCTGCAACTGCCTCCTAAACATGCAATCAAGTTTACATTTGGTCTTATCTTTACTCTTAAGTCTCTAGAAGACTCTTGGCTCTAAAAACAAAACAAAGGCAAATTCTCTGTAGCAGCATGATGCAGTAGAAAGAATATTGGGTTTGAAGTCAGCCTGAGCAAGGTTCACAGCGCTGTCTCTTACTAGCTATGTGACCTCAGGCACGAAAATCAGCTTCTCTGAGTCTCATTTTCCACCTAAAAAAGGAAAGATTATAATACTCACCTCACAGAACTATTACAGGAATTAAATAAGGAAATACATATAAAGCACTTAACAGTGCCTGGCACATCTGCTATTTGATAAATGTTAGTTTCCTCTTTCCTACCACCTCAGAAATGTCTGCCCCTTAGAAATACCACTAACTTTTATCTGCCACTTCTGCAATATTAGACTTTATTCATTCAAAAAAGACTTTCAACTGAGTAAGAGGTTTCATGCCCATTTCAGGTTATTAGGCAATATCTAATCAGTGTATCTAAATGCCAGCCTCCTGGTTCACAGCCCAATTCTTTGTTCAATGGACCATACTGACTTAATATAATTTATTCCCTAAAACGGCCTTTTTTGAGCCAAGAAATTTAGGTAATTGCTCTCAGCAACTCAACTGTATGAAGAGCTCTTGCCAACCAGCACAAGTGAAAATTTGTCCCAAGAAGGTGCCAGGAAAGATAGCACCCAGCTGAATGGCTTCTTGCAAGACTGCTACTCCAGAACACCTATCTTAACTTCCAGAATGGAAGTGTACTAGCAGGGTTTAAAATACTCTTATTAAAATTGTCTCCTTAGACTCAGGGAAAGTTAAGGTCCATTAACCTGAATGGCTCTGCTGACTCTAGAGTCTATTCCATATGTTCACTCTGGGATGTCACTCTCTCTATTAGAAGCACTTATACAGGAGGTCTCGGGGGTGGGAATGGCCACCAGTGTTAAATAATTGATTTCATTTCCATTTCACTTCCATTCTCCCCACAGACCAAAGATAAGGCCCTATGAGCTCTGGTAGACAATATACATTCTCAGCTACATCTGATAAAGTGGCAAGTGTACCAGAGTGCTTAACACTCACTGCCTAAAGTAGCATGTGTGTAGTGAAAAGCAGTGTGTCTAAAGGCAAGGACTGAAAGAATTAATTTAACTCCACCGATCACAGGCGTACTGTGTGATCTAGGGCGAGTTCTTCTTTTCTTAAGGCTCTGTCCCCCTCACCTGTCAGGAGAGATTAGTCACAGCAATACACCAAACTGCAAATTTCTTGAGAGTAAAAATCATGCCTTATTTATCTGTTTCTTCAGTACAGAATCTGGCATTTAGTAAATCACTTAACAGATGTTTATTAATGAATAAAAACTTTGAACAACTGTTAGAAAATACTAAAAGAAGTGCCATTTTAAGGTGCTATGTAAATAGAGCAGTGACAAGAATAAAAGGTAGACTGGTACCAGATGAGAGCTGTAACTGCCCTGACATTGCTACTAAGGTGTCACTTTGTCTATTTTAAATACGGCGGTTATTGCTACACAGGATTCAAGGCCTTCGTCTAACTCATCAGTGATTCAGGAGAGGGTTCTAAAAGACCCAGACCATGGAGTCAAATGACTGTTTAAAAAGCTTTGAGAAACATTTATTTAAAACCAAATATGAGGCTATCCACTCCTTACTTCCTCTTTTACTTCTAATTGCCTCCTGAATTTTTATTCTTTTCTACCCACCCCCCCCCATTAAAAAAAAAAAAAGGTCTCCTTTTGTTAGTAAATAAAGCTTACAAAGATAGCACTGGTGGCAGAGTTGGTCTCAATTTCACTATCGGACAAAGTGCCCCGAGAGCTTGTCAAGTGAGTGCTTCCCTCGACACCTGGTCCATCGCCTGCATTGCTGCTCAAGTCACTGTCTGCTCCAAGGGTCTCTCCAGAACTATTACTCACCTGGAAAGGAAACAAGGTAGTAAGGGATATTCCCTAGGGTAGGTCCCAGAAATGCCAAGCTGCGAGAGCTCTCTGCTGCATAAAGAAGTATCCCATTTCAAGGTGAGCCAGAGCCTCTGGAAGTACCTTCTTTACCCGAGGAGAAGCCCTAGGTGAAATCTCAGGGTCTGATCCCACGGACACAGACCTGTGACAGGTAAGCATCTCCTCTGTGAGAGTCGAGCTGACCTGAGACTAAGCACAGCCTCCAGAGGAGCCCCCCGCCCACCAAGATGCCAGTGTGGTGTTCCCCTACCACGGTGCTAACTTCAGAGTCCTGACTGGAGCTTCGGATCATGACAGCCGGGCTCACGCTGACAGCAGAGTCTGGGTCGGTCCTCTGAAACAAGACACGGGGCCTCAGGCACGAGGGGAGGGGTCCGATCTACTCTGTCTCCCTGAGAAATACTGTATCTTCCTCTTCTCCTCATGCCCCTCCTTCTACCATCACTGGTTTCTGAATATAAAATATCCATGACGTACGTAATAAGAATAATAAACACTAAAGAAACACATGCTCGCTATGAAAATACATGAAAGAGTAAGGGAACAAAATAAGCCGGGAACCAACTGCCTACATTAATCGCTGTTAAGCCGTTAGCATATTTCCTCTCAAACTTTTCTGTATACATTTTTAAAACAGAATTGGAACCATACTGTATATAGCTTCATCAACATTTTCTCATGTTACTATGTTTTAAAAAATATAGTTAATGGAGCCCTGGCCAGGTGGCTCAGTTGGTTGGCACAGTCGTCCTGTGCACCAAAGGGTTGCAGGTTCGATTCCTGGTGAGGGGGCATATGGCAGGCAGCCGATGGATGTTTCTTTCCCACATCAGTGTTTCTCTCTCTCTGTTTCCCTTCCCCTCTCTTTAAAAATCAATAAACATATCCTTGGGTGAGAATTTAAAAAAATACACATATATATATGTAGTTAACGGATCTTAATATAATATTGTATTATACGGGTATATTATACTTGTTTCATCATTCCCCTATTATTGAATATTTATGTTGGTTTAAGGTTTCTTGTTTTTTGTGTTTGTTTTTTTTTTTACTTAAAGAAGTATTCTGGCCTGGCCGGGCGTGGCTCAGCGGTTGAGCATCGACTTAGGATCCAGGAGATCGCAATTCGATTCCTAGTCAGGGCACATGCCCGGGGTGAGGGCTCAATCCCCAGTCCAGGGCATGCAGGAGGGAGCCGATCAATGATGACTCTCTCATCAGTGATGTTTCTATCTCTCTCTCCCCCTTTTCCTTCCTCTCTCTGAGATCAATAAAGATATATTTAAAAACAACAACAACAAAATAAAAAATAAATGAGAACCAAGAGTCAAATAGGATCTGACATTTAGGT